GACCACATCATCGTGATGAAGGGTGGGGTTGATGTCGAGCAGGGAACGCACGAGGAGCTTCTGGCAATCGAGGATGGGGTGTACAGTGGGCTGGTGAATGCCCAGACTCTCGAGCTGTTAGACGCAGAAGGGAGTGACATTCAGGATGAGATGGACGACACCGACGACGACGACGACGCCAAGTCAGCCAAGATGAGCTTGAAAAGGTTTGGAAAAGAAGAAGAGCTGGAGAAGTCGAAGAACAGAGGCTTTTTTGGCAGTATTGGCGTGTTTCTATACGAAAACAGAGGGCAATGGCGTTTCTACTTTCCGGCCTTGATCGGCGCGGCGGGCGCTGGAGGTAAGGATTGCGAGGAGTGTAATTGTGTGGCAGCTACTGACGTGAACTAGCTGCCTACCCCATTCAGAGTTGGCTGTTTGCGAGAATCATCCAGGTCTTCCAGTACTCAGGGGATAAGCTGGTGCACGCTGCCAATTTCTGGGCTCTGATGTTCTTGGTTCTCGCTCTGGGGAATGGGGTCTGTTATGCCCTGATCGGATATTCCGCCAACCGGTTCTCAGTGGTATGTTGCCACTTCACCTTGGATCGACGAACGAAGCTAACATGGAAAGGAAATCTCCTCGTACTGCCGAACTGAATACTTCCAGCACATCATCGAGAAGCCCATCCCCTTTCACGATCGCACCGACAATGCCTCAGGCTCGCTGGTCTCTCGTCTGGCTACCGACCCCAAGCAAGTGCAGGAACTCCTTGGCATCAACGGAGCGCTTCCCTGCATGTCGATCTTCGGTATGATCGGATGTATCATCATCGCCTTCACTTTCGGCTGGAAACTCAGTCTGGTGGCCGTGTTAGCAGCGCTGCCTTGCACCTTTCTGGCGGCCTTCATGCGCATTCGCTACGAAGTGCAATTCGACGCGATGAATGCAGCCGTCTACTCTGGCAGCTCGCAGTTCGCAGCGGAAGCCATCGACGCCTTCCGGACGGTGTCAGCACTGACAATGGAGGACGCCATCCTGAACCGCTACTCAACCATGCTACTTGCGCAGCAAAAGAAGGCCTTCCACAAGGCATGGTATGCAACCTTAGTCTTCGCCTTCTCCGATAGTGTCGAGCTGTGCGCTATGGCGCTCACCTTCTGGTACGGAGGGCAGCTCCTCGCCTCACGAGAATACGAGCCCACCTCCTTTTTTGTGATTTACATGGCCATCATTCAGGGAGGACAGCAAGCCGGCCAGTTCTTTAGTTTTGGGTCAAACATCGCCCAGGCCATTGCCTCCGCGAACCGCATGCTGGACTTCCGGCCGAACCGCAACGAGAACCCACAGCAGATGACCACCACCACCACCACCACCAACAGTGCAGGCCAGTCTGCAACAGCAGCAAGCATCAGCTTCCGCGACGTCACTTTCCGCTATGCTTCACACGACCGCCCCCTCTTCACGGGCCTGAACCTGGACATCAGCCCAGGCCAATTCGTCGCCTTCGTCGGCCCATCCGGTTGCGGAAAGACCACCGTCATTTCCTTGCTCGAACGATTCTACAGCCCCGCCAAAGGCACTGTCCTCCTCAACGACCAGGATATCACCACCCTCGACCCGGCCACCTACCGCAAGACTATCTCGCTAGTGGCCCAAGAACCCCGATTATTCGAGGGCACCATCCGCGAAAACATCACCCTCGGCTTGCCCAACCCATCTGAGGTTTCGGATGCGGAAATCGAACAAGCATGCCGCGACGCCGAGATCCACGACTTCATCACCTCCCTCCCGCAAGGGTATGCCACCGAGCTAGGTATCAAAGCTCAAGCCGCGCTGAGCGGCGGCCAACGCCAGCGGCTGTGTATTGCAAGAGCGTTACTCCGCAAACCGAAGCTGCTGCTTCTGGACGAGGCGACGTCGAGTCTGGATTCGCAGTCTGAGAAGGTGGTGCAGGCTGCGCTGGAACGGTTGGCGGCGAAGAGGTGTATGACCATTGTCGCGGTGGCGCATCGGTTGGCGACGATTCAGAAGGCGGATGTCATTTTTGTGTTTGGGGAGGGAGGGCTTGGTGGGTCGAGAGTCGTCGAGCAAGGGACGCATGCGGAGTTGGTGGGAAGGCGGGGGATCTATTACCAGATGGTAAGCTCTCTTTCTCTCTGATGTGTGGGCTGGGAAATGCTAACTGTGTGATAGTGTCAGGAAAACGCGTTGGATCGGTGATAGCCTGGTGATACTCAGGTTGCGCGAAGAGGCCCCTTGGGATGACAGCTTGACTTCTGGATGATGTTGATGAGGAAGGAAACTACCATGCAAAGAGAAGGAATGGCTGCGTCATCGGTGCCGCGAACATAATGGACATAATGGAGAAATCGGGAAGAGAGAATTGGCGCACGAGTGCTTGGTTAAGATATTAGATATACACATATACTCTGTATAGTAAATAATTCATTATACCCACACGAGAATATTATGCTATGTTGGCTATGAACCTCTTCATCCGGTAACCAATTGATTGTGCTCAGCGTCGATAGGAGCGGGAAATAGCACGATCGAAGGCGAGGCAAAACGAGGACATCAGAAAGACGTAAGGGAGCATTTTGGTGGGAATACCAAATCGAGGCAGTCTGACGGTTTTCATGGCATGTTTTAGAGCTTAAGCATGATTCTTGTCGAGAGGTGCGTTGATTATTTGACTCCAGCGCTATGCCTTTGTCCCTGGATGGGGAAAGTGCCCTTGACGCTGCAGGAAATGGTTCATATGCCCACTGCCGACCATTCCTTTCGAATAAGCAGTAGTGTGCTCGCTTGCTTAGTACAGCAAGGACAGTCAAGGTCTAAATGCGAGAGCTTAGTGGTCCAATATACCAGAGATTGTTGTACTTACCTAGTATCTAATAAGCAGCGGGAACAGCTCCCCCACCAGCAAGTGACCTCACGGCCGCGGGCCACGGATACCCTAGAAAGGTGCTCCGTAGAATGGTGTTAGAAGTATAGCAGCCCGTATTGTTGTAATGATGACAAGTGTATGCGAAATACCCTACAGCGAAGTTTCGTCGCGATCCCAATGACTCATGCCACTCTACAACTTCGAACAACAGGTAACTTGTACGTCCTTGACTTCGACTTACCTTCTCAAGTATTTTGATCCTCTACAACCTTTCAAACGGACTTCTATCGAACCTGACTCCTACCAAGCTCTTTGATCGAATCAAAATTTCATTACCCAACTGTGAGTTCAATATTTCAGTTCATATCCCGGCAACTCACTCCTAACTTCATGCTCCCTTAGCCACCTTAGCCTTCTACTCTTCCGTAAGAGCCCAACAACCAGAGTTTATAGATCGCGTTCGCAAGATGTGTTGCTTGGTCGAGTTCTTCCTCCGCGCCAGCATCGAGCCTGTCATGATCCGCCGCGAATGCAGCTTGGAGCGTGATGGTAGATGGCGTGAGGCCCAAACACTCCGGCGGCGATACTACACTATGACCTTCAGCTGGCTCTACGACTTCGAGCCAGTCGGCGAGCTGATTCGAGCGGAGAAGCAACTGGTATTTCTGGCCCAGAAAGAAGAATTCTTTCGCGAGTGCGAGAGGAGATGTCTGATACACTTGGAAATCAATCTATGCCCCGACGAGTCCCTGATCGAAAAGCTACAGACGGCCCAGAGGCTGTCGTCCGAAGTACGCCAGACTCTATGGTATGAAGACCGACGATACCGGAAGATGCTCGCCTTCATCCCCGACGGCCCTTTGAGACGTGCACTGCATGCCTGCCGGCGTCAGCATAACTGGTATCTCCTATCTGACTGGCAGCGAGCCCAATGTGCGGCCATGGGAGGATGTTGTGGTCGAAGCTGTGGCTGCTGTTCGAGGCCGAGGAACCCGGATAGTCACAGTCAGCACTATGGGCATTGCTTCTCGTACTGCCTCTGCTGTACAGACGCCAGAGGCTTTGATATTCGGCCCAAGCGCCTAGAGGACGATCCAATGCATCAACCTTTTGATCTGTCTCCTGGAAAATACATGGGTGCCTATGAACTACGATTGCTGGAATCTTACATCTGGGGTCTCCTATAGTCCTATGACACGGGCCGGATGTCATACACCCTTCGAGCCTTCCGCCATTCCGTTGCTTAAATGTTTCTCGAGGATGGCGCCATAAGGTATCTGTACTGCGCTTTCCGTTTGATGTTTATTTCTGCTACTCTATACGGTCTCTACCATTGTTGATCATGAATGAACACACTCTGGAGCTTGGAAGAACTTGCTCGTTTCTGCTCAAGTAGAAGCTTGTATCTTTGATTGCGTGATATCCTCAACCAACCCTGAGCTCTCAAGTCGCACAGTTGGCAAGTCCGCGTTCACCAACTGAGTCCTCGACACGTCCACCCGTACCTCACATTAGCATTTATTGCACCTTCTTATCCAGAGCATCTCTAATCACAATGGAATTGCCTTTACAAGAAGTACTAGGTGATTGATGCCAGCCTGCTCCTTCTATAGATTAGTGAGGCGCCAAATGACCCCTAGTGAATGCGCCTCGTAGTTCAGCCATTATCGCATTTCACTTGACACGTCATTTGCACGAGGTTCCTTCATCTCTGGCTTACTTGTATCTCAGGGCTTCAACAGGAATCATATGGCCGCCTCTTGTTCACTACACCAATACTTTAAGACATATGCTCAGATTACCTTGAAGTTTAATGTATATTTATTTAATTTATACAATGCTAATTTATACTGTGTCCCTAGGACACACAAAGTACAAAAGAAAAAGAAAGGGAAAAAAGCAAAAAGAAAAAACAAAAGAAACCAACAAACACACAGACAAACAACGATAAACATCAACGATAAACATCACCCATTCTCCCCCCCCCCCGTGTCATAAAACCAACCCCCCCTCACCAAGAGCTCTGTTGACCCCTGCTGGGCCGACTGATTGCCCCACTTTGAGACGACCTTGCTCACGGTTCGACCCAGGAAGCTTTGGCCCTTTTGCAGCAGCAGCCATTGCTGCAGCTCTAGTCGCTGGTCCTGAGTGACCAGTGGAGGGAGAGGAGGGAGCGGAGCAACCGGAGCTGCTGCCAGCGCTGCCAGCGCTGCTGGCATGAGGTGGGAAGGGAACGAAGGCGCCGGCGGGGCTATTGTAGAAAGTATATTAGTTTCATCTAACCCTTGATGTTGGCAAAAGAGGATCTCACATTCACGAGCCCCATGTCGCCATAAAGCCCAAGCATCGCCAACGTTGGTTGGCTTGTATCGGGAAAAAGCAGCAAACCTAGATGGACTCAGATTAATCTCACATTACTCTCACATTACTCTCACATGAGTCTGATGTAATGGTTGGCTCGTACCGACGTCGGGCCCAAAGGACCCCGGCATAAACCCCAAGATGCACAAGCTTCCGGACGCCATCATGAGCAAAACAAACCACCAGTTCTTACTGGTGATGGCGGCCAGGGCATCGGAACGGCTGCGATGAAAAGCATATCAGATTTATAGTGTACCTTCATACTATGGTGCTCAAGAGGAACGTACCCCGGCGGGCATTGTGCCGCCAAGCCGCCCAGACTTCGAAAGCATTGGCAATTGAAACTATAGACTGAGGCTTTAGTTTGACGCTCACGCTGAATCTGACAAGGATGAGCGCTCCTACCGCCATTCTGCGTGATGCCACGCGTAGAGCCGCCCAGTAAACCCCAGAACAGGGATGATGCTCTAGTCCGGGTAGAGCCGGTGATTCATGTTGCTCGTGGAGGAGAACGTGGAGACAACGTCGCCGGTTGCGGTGGCGAACGAAAGATCCGTTGAATAATGGTCTGAAAGTCCGGTTGAAGAGTAGAATGATGTCCATTAGACAATTTGAAATAGGCTCTGTCGCAAAGAATAATGAGTTCCGAATAGACGATTGGTAGAGGGTGCTGGTGAGGCAGGGAGGCAGCAGACTTGGATTGATTCTTACTGATTCCATGGAAGAAAGCGCATGGGTATGAGACCTCCAAGCGACAGGTGCGAACGAGTCAATGGCTCCCGGGTGGTCCGAAGCACCTGCCCAAGCAAGCAGTTCAGCTCAACAGAGCCTGGCTTGGGGCTTGGATGGAGTAAAGAAATAAGATACATTGATTCGACATGGAAAATCACAATGAAAATTCGTGTTGAGATGGAACGATTCAATCCGAGAAGTAGAACTGAAAAGTGTACTAGGTATTCTCATGCCGAGATTTTGAACTTCGCACAACCTTTCATGTCTTCCCGCCACCCAACTCTTAGAACGACTGGGATCAAAACTTGACAATGGCTACGTGAAGGAAGCTAGGTACGCAACGGAGTCAGGGTTTTGGACACGATAGAATATTCACTTGGTACATTCCATATATCAAGCCGCCTTACAGCTTATGTATTAACATTTGGCAAGCGACGAAATGTTCGGGCTATCATGTAAACTAGACATATGATCGGCATGCTTGCAGCCTTGGGACTTCACAGGTAGAGGAGTCGTAGTCTGTGAATGAATATGTCTTTCCAGAGCAACTGATCTGTCAACTAGATGCGTAAAATATCCGACGTGCCACGTTGAGCAACATCCTACAACATCAATCACGATTGAACGGGTTCTCCTTGACCACTTTCCGAATCTTCTTCCGATACCGCGCGGGGTCCTTCTTCAAAATATGGTATGGCTTGCTCTGCGCCGGCGAATCGGGATTCGGGTTATCCAGCAGCTCCTGCACCCCGAGCAGGATCTCCTTGACCGACAGAATCTCCGACCAGGATTCCTTTGGATCGAGGATCGAAAGGCAGACGGTTTCTCTTGGGAAGTCGTTGGGATGGAACAGCGGAGGGCTGAATTGGCCTACCTGGCCAGTTAGTCTTAGGATCTGTGGCTGAAGCGGGCGGGGGTGGATGTACACTCCGGGGGCTTGCTTGGGTACTCTGTGGCATGCAATCGTTAATATGGCTGTGACGCGCACCAAGGGAATGCAACAAAAGTCAATTGATCTTCAGGAAATATCATCAGCATCTTGAAAAGACCCCCCTCCCATTTCATCATGTAGCGGACACCCTGGCGGTTTCGACTTGGTCGCGCATAGTATACGAAGAGAGGCTTCTTGCGCCATCTGCGTCTGGGGGTGGTGATGACTGGTGTTAGTTTTGTCGGCACTTCTCAAGGAAAGTTGAAGCTGGACAGGGACATTGTTGGGCTAACGTGAGATCCTGATCGCTAGGCAGGGAGAGTAGACGGATTCGGTTGATGATCTGATAACGATCCTGGGGAGGGAGTGAGACCTATGAGATTGAGCTATAGAAGGATAGAGTTGACGAGGCACTATGGAAAGACCAGGCTAATGAGACTGGAAGCTTCGCACCCTGCGTCGCGATGTAAAGATGTAGAGGAGAGAGGTCGAGAAAACAGGAAGGTTGCAAGGGAGAGGAAAAACTCAAGGAGTCAGAGTAGAAAGTCACTTCCATATTCAAGTACCATATTTGATGCCCGCCCTGTGGTGCTGGTCTTTGTTCTGCATTCACTATCGAGCTTTGCGAAAATTCAACAGGTCGGATCGTGAGAGGCAGAAGTTGAAACGTTCTCGAGAGCAAGATGCAGGGGATTTTGAATGGATCGCCTATCTTGTGGCTATTGCTCGGTGGAATGGCAAATGCCTTGACGAGGATTTTGACGCGTTGGTAATCCGCAAGAATGAGGCATTTTTCTCACCTAGATAACACCGGCCATTGGTACAACATACCGTTACCGCGCTGGTCCGCGGGGCCTGGAACAAAGAAGCAAGATTGAGAACGCAACGACTCTGTCATATTCGGAAGGAGGGAAGCTCACCGCAAGCCAATATCACAACACTAGCATTGGCATAACCAAAAGCCATATTAGCAGCCTCGACGAGCTTCATACTCTTTCCTTTTCTCACCTCTGTGATGCTTTGTACCCTCCTGACGGGATACGTTGATCCTGGCCGTGCCGCATTTACAATTTGGAAAGAGTTTCGATCACCAAGGACAAGTTTAACCTCGAATTCCAAGTTGAGTTGCTGTGCCGACCGAGTCCCAGCACACTAAATCATCGCGCTGCGCAGCTACTCACTCTGCGAAACAGACGCCTACACCCTATTCCCGGCCTCAGCCAGCGCTTCACGAACGATGTGTCTCTCCTGATGCCCCCCTGCATCCCCGAACAACGAGTCGATCTCCTCCAGCGTCTTGCCGCTTGTTTCTGGAACTAGGAAGAACGCCCAAACACCCGCCAGCGTACACATCACCGCGAAGAAAATGTACGTCCGGTACCCGATATCCGCCAGCATCGACGGGGTGACAATACCCACTACAAAGTCGGATAGCCAGATGGTGCACGTCGCCAGCGCCACCCCCTTGGAGCGACACGCGTTGGGAAAGACTTCCGCGGGGAGCGCCCACCCCAGAGGGGAATATGAGACTCCATACACCAGAATGAAGACGAACGCCATAGCCACGCATGCCCATCCCGCAGCCGGATGGCCGGGCCAGTTGCTCGAGAAGAGCCCGCTCAACACCGCAATGATTGCGTACGATATTGTCATTCCGAAGGCACCGTAGATGGCGAGTGGTCGACGTCCAACTGACTCAATAATAAAGGTGCAGATGATGGCTGCAACAACCTGCAGCACATTGAAAACACCTGACAAAACAAGCGATCTCTCGTTCGATTGACCGAGCGATTCGAACAGTGTTGGCGCGTAGTAAATAAAAGCGTTGATCCCCGAGAATTGCTGGAAAAATGCGACGCCACAGCCCACAGCGACGCGTTTCCAAATGCCACTACGGAAGAGGTCGAGCCAGGAGACCAGCTCCAGTTTGAGGCCCAATGCACCGGGGTGTCTGCGCTCTTGGACGAGCCGCTGGAATTTGACTTCGGAGACAATCGCGGTGTACTCGGCTTGCACTCGGACGTCGGTGGTCGGAAGGCGTCGGAGTTTGGCGAGGCTGGCGAGACATTCCTCTTGTCGGTCGACGAGGGCGAGCCAACGCGGGGAGTATGGAAATAGATGAATGCCCGCGCCTAGGAGGGTGGCGGTGACCATCTGCAGCCCGAACGGGACGCGGAAGGCGGCTTCGCCGTCGATGTGGCGAGTGGCATAGGTGATCCAGTAGGCGATCACAACGCCAAGGGTGATGGAGACGGACTCGAGTACGAGGAGAACGCCTCGCAGTTCGGGAGGGGAGACCTCGGAGATGTACAGTGGGGCACCCTCGAGACATCAAACTAGGTCAGCCACGTCACATGAACCCAGAACCTCCTTAACAACCTTGCTAGGTATCCGTGACACAGGTGCATACGTACCATTGCCAAAGTCCCCACGCCAATGCCACCAATGAATCGACCAGCGACCAGCATATCATAATTGACAGCAGCTGTCTGCAGGATGGCTCCGATGTCGAAGATGACCACCACCACGGTCAACGCCCATTTGCGGGAGATGCGATCGGCGAGATAGGACATGAAGAGACAGCCGACAAAGGCCCCCAGCAGCAACATGCCTGTCATGAGACCTTTTCCAAACGACGTTTCGGATCGGGGAAAGACCTGGTGGAACCGATCCATCACGTTGATGATGGAGATGACCCCCATGTCGTAGCCCATGGAGAAACCCCCGAGGGAGGCCAGCAGAGCTGAGCCAAACACATACCACGAGCGGAAAAGGCCTGTGATGCCACCGGGGCCATAGGCGACCGACTCCGAGTCGCTGATCTCAACGGACTCGGCATGTTCCGCGGTGGCATCGTCCTTGCCCAAATGGGGGGATAGATCGCCTTTAACAATGTCTGCCATGAGTGGCAATTTGGTTCGGTAGAGAATTGAGTCGTAAGATGGTGAGTTTGCTAATGCAGGGTGGAGAATGAGTGAGTCACCTTCAGCTTCGCATGCGCATATTTATACCGTGTAGGTCCCCAGGGAGTCGGCAATTGAAGCAAGCACTCAATATCACTCACTACCCCGGACTGTACCCCAGATTTCTGCCGAATCCTCCCCACAATCGAGACTCTTTCCCCGCATTTGCGTCTGAGGAATGCGGTCGGGATTCTTGTGATTGGCGGGGCAAGGTTTTGCCTCGCGGGAGGAAATGCTACTTTCCACCTCGAGAGCGGGCATCTTTGCCGCTTCCAGCTGTTGTACCACCGGCAGAGGGTCTCACCTCCGGTTCGGGCACTTTTCCCCGCCACTGGGCAGCAGGTGTGGGTTGCGAGATTCTCCTACATGACGTCGACGAGGCTGGCTGAGGCTGCCAGATGAAGCTTTACTGATGACCGCTGATCAGAAACTAATTCCCGAATCACTCACACTATGCACCCACTCGCTCACCACGGCGGTCAATTCATGGTAGGCGATATCTATGTCATTTACAAGATTAAGGGTCGCAGGAATCGACAATGCTCAAGGGAAAAACAGGACAACATTGCAATAAATTGACGAACAGGCAAATCGAGAAGCAGAGCATGTCGAATGACGGATTGATCATGGGCGGAAGAGTAAACACTCCCCGGTATCAATCACCGACAGGATGAACTGATCCAATTCTATCCCTTCTACATAGGCACACCCTCGACAATCCAATTCAAGAGCTTGGATCCCCGAATCTCCTCGGCTCGTTTCACCAGCTCCTCCGCATCCCAGTTCACCCACACGAACTTCCCCTTGAGAAACTCCGCCTCTGCAGAAGCCAACCAGACATAGAACGGGCCCGGCAATTCAGCTATTCAGACCCCCGTTAGCATGCGCTCATTTACGGAGATGAGACAACGTCCGAACATACCTTGATCCGGCGCTTCGGCCTGATAGCCATTGCCTTCCGTCGCTACCCAGCCAGGCTGGGCACTCACCACGCGCACATGAGGGTTCTCTGCTGCAACGTACTCCATCATCTTCAGCACCGCGGCCTTCGACACCGCGTATCCGCTCAGACCAGGCATCGGGGCAATATTCCCTAGACATGAGGAAGTATTCAACAGCACGGGGTCAGGTCCCGCGACGGCCAAAAACCCCTGCACAGCATTCAGCGCGCTCCGGATATTCTCCACCACACCTCCCAGATAATCCTCCACGTCGTACGCCCGGATTAACCCTGGCGTAGGTAGGGTTCCCGCGTTGGAGACGACGATGTCGATCTTCCCGACCCGGGAAACAATGGAAGCAAGGGCCTCGTCGACAGCACTGCGCTGACGGAGATCGGCTACTTCATAAAGGACCTGAGTCGAGGTGCGCGCTTGAGTGGCCGCGGTGGTGATTTTCTCCGCCCCCGATTTCAGGGTCTCCAGACGACGGCCGAGGATGGAGACGGACTTGGCGCTGGCCTGGGAAAAGGCCACGGCGATGGCGTTGCCGATGCCGCTGCCGCCGCCCGTGATCACCACGTTCTTGCCTGCCGCCGAGAGCTCGGGACGCGAGGGCGAGATGAAGGCGTAGGGCTTGGTGTGCCACTCCTTGGTGAAGGAGATGGGCTTGGGGTAGTCGTTGGAGGATGACATATTGGACAAGCTTTGATGGTGCTGTTACTAGTAGATGTTATGACTTGGTCTGTGGTCAAGGTGCTGTGCTCGATGCCGGTGTTCAATGGAAGGCGTCTTGACCTGTTTGATCTTTATATACCCTCTCGTCGGGTGTGAGCCCCCATGATGCCAAACATATTCATTCTTGCAAAGACTGTCTTTTGTCAGCATCCTCAGGGCAGAGGATGCTGTTCACGCTATTTGGTATGGTAGTGTCATGAGAAGTGGTTGGTGGTGATGTTGATTTCTAATCTCCAGCCTGTGTGTTGATCTTCCCGACGGGATCTTGGCAGTGCTGCTGCACCCTACCAGGAGATTTCAAACCCTCCAGGGTCCAAGGGATCTGAACTTACCGTTGGCTTTCGGGACGGGATTCACAGTCTGATCGCTGCGGTATAGACGCAACACTACTCGTCAAGTACGTACAGACAGACGCGTAGATGCATCATTCCCGAATCACTACGCGAACACAATATGATCACTCAGTGTCTTTGACAAAGTATTCAAATAATTTTCCACGGGATTCCATTCAACCAAAAGGTGATTACTGGCTTACGGCGTAGTCTACAATTATAATTATTTTCGCAGAGTCCCGAAGCACCTCTCGAGAATCTCCGTCATTGTCTCATCTAGGTCATTGCTGCTCGATCGAGCTGAGCACTCGAAGAGGGCATTGGCGATCAGGAACAACTTCAATATGACATAGGCTATGTAAGACCGCATCATTGCAAGACACATAAGTGCCGTGCTGGATTACTTATTTACAGTTCACTATACCGGGCTTGATCTTATCAGGCATGGATTGGATCGTAGCGCGTGCGGTCTACGGACAAAGCCGGAGAACCACGGCCAAAACTCGGGGGGTAGAGGCTGGTATCTCTCTGACCGCCCCAGAACGACAGTGGGCGAGAACTCGGCGGCGAAACTGTTCTTCATTTCCGACCGCCTAAAAGAGCAGAATGGTGCCTGCTTTGATCGCCGGGGCTGCTGCTTGCTCCTGTAGGCAATTCTTCTGGATTCTGGCAAGATGCTGAGACTGAGAAGTATTCAGCTTGCTGCCCTTGTGGCTTCCATTGCCTAGTTGCAACCTGATACTCCTACTACTGGCTTAATTTGATTGTGGACATGACCTTGATATAAATAAATCACTCGACACTATGCCTGTATTTGCTGTGTATGCTTCGACTGGAGATTTCTGATGAATTACCCAATCGCGAAGGAGTATTATCACTTCAAAGAAAAGGAAGAGAGCATTATTTACCGCAGCCCTTTCAGTCTATAGTTTATCGACAGTCATCCTCATATCCGATACACGCCCATGCTCACAAGACTTTCCGCCGCTCTCATTACGAGGGTTCGCATCGTGATCCGCCTATTTCTCGTGACAAATTGGATCTTTTCATTGAGAGCTCTACCTTTTTGAATGTGTCTGTTCCTTCCACAACTTCGACAGATCACTCTTCTGGAGTACCCCACGGGATGAACTTGCTCACAGGCTACACCTGCGGTAGCTACCTATTTATAGAATCCTATGTAAGCATCTCTCGCAGGTAAAGCATGGTCTGTACAAGTCGTATTTGCATTAAATGCGTTTCAATAGTAGAATAGTAAATGAAGTCATGCCATATATTTAGACGTTTCCATCAGTCAAATGCGTGGTATGAGACTTGTAAGCTAGGTGGCACTGGTTCGCCTGCCAGGATGGAAGGGTTCTGCTGCTGTTGTAGCTGTCGTAATCAAGCTTGCGTATTTCACAGACTACCTTGCACCCAAGGCTTGGGGCGTGGTAAATTGTGAACTGAAACCACCACGAATAGGTAGCAAGACTCTGATCTGTTTATGATCTAAAGAACAGATATTTAAGAGAGCTATCATGCAAAATATAGAAGCGCCGATGCAATTCCTTTCACCCGCTCGTGCAGTCAGCCGATTTGATGGCCCTAGACAAGAGACTGGTTAAGGGATAGAGCTGGAAATAGCGAAGTAAGATTCTATCAAGTTGGAGACCCCAAGAGGCTTGGAGAGATTTGGAGAGGAAGGGTTTTCAGCTGGGCCCACTCCTTATCACCTCCAATGAATCCCCAAAATATGAATATAATGTATCGCTATGAGTATCTCGTGCTCTGTTACGTGATATTATTCAATTAATCTAACCTAAGGCTGTAAACCGATACCTGGTGCAGTGATAAGGTGCAGATAAGGTGCAGATAGAGATATTGAAGGCTATCATTTTACCGTTGTCTCCAGATGACTGGAAAGACTACGCACGTAGGGATGATCTTTGAACCGGATCAGCCAGGAATTGCTGATACGAAAGACGACTGAGAATTCATCTTCCGTCTTATCGCACGCCTCGCCGCTACCGGGCCGACAGCTGTGTGAATATAAAAGGTGCCCCAGGCGACCGGCTCCAAGAATTTCCTAAGTTGGATTCTCGCACGCAACTACCTAATCGTTCAGATTCCCCGGAACTAACCAACATGTTGCTCGCGCCGTTTGGAACGCTCTTGGCCGCTGCCGTCACCGTTTATGCGACTGCCGTACCCGCTATGCGCGGCACGCGCATGAAGCAGGACGTTGATACTGGCTTCGAGTGGGATCCCGAAGCATTCAAAATTGCTGCAGTGCGCGAGCCTCCAGTTGGATTTGTGTACCACGATCTCTGGGACACGACGACCTGGTATAACTACGACCTCAACGCCACTATTGCCCAATCAGTCAAGATCATCGGACGAGCTGCAGCTGAGGGTGTCAAGTTTATTGCCTTCCCGGAGATCTATTTCCCTGGGTATATCCCCTTTCCCGCTGGCATAGCTCTAGCCTATATCAAACTAATGCGATTCGTCCTAGGTATCCTGCCTTTCGCACTGCCAACGGCCCAGAGGACTTCGCGCAATATGTATCGCAGACTATGGAGCCCGGCGACGCCCAGTGGCAAACTCTAATGAAGGCTTTTGCTGATGCTAAGATGTACGGTGTTGTCGGGTGGGCCCAGAGGGCTAACAACTCTCTCTTCATGACTCAAAGCCTTGTTGGTCCCATGGCCGACGGCTCGGCAGGAACCATTTGGAAACACGAAAAGTTCCGTCCCTCCGGCGAGGAGCGCACGCTCTTTTCCGACGGACTACTCAATACCATCCGCGCTCAAAAACTACCCTTCGGGGTGGTCTCGATGCTCAACTGCTGGGAGGCATGTTGCCTTCTCCTATACACTTCGCTTACGAGTAGTCGGGTAGAAACTGACCATTGCTTATAGCATGTTTACCCCGAGTCCCGGTTTATCTCCGGTGCCCAACCTGCCAACATTCACGTCGCGTCCTTCCCGTACGTCCTGTCTCTCAGGCTGGGATTCCCAGCAACCTATAGTAAAGAAGCTGACCTCGACTATTTTCGCCAAACAGGATTGGCAGCTCGGTTGCCAATGCGACCGTCAACGTTAACCCTTATACGGGGTGGCATGCCGATGCCAAAGCATACGCCGAGACTGCTGCTGGTTCCCCCATACTCATGCTGCCCACATATGGTGCCTCGGGCATTTTCTCCGGATCGACTACCCTGAACGAGTCGACCAACACCCTCACGACAGGTTCACAGCCGTATGTCACTACTGTCCTGAATACGACTACGTTCAGCGACACCTCGTACAGCGTGAACGCATACAACAGCTGGGGCGCCGTCGAGAACATCATGCAGAATCTCCCCTCCGATATGCCGCAGCGCAAAGGCCCCTTCCTCCAGCGCGTGATCTTTACGATTGATCAGCTCACCAAAGCTTATATCTGGACCCCCGGGTTGACCTGCACGCCTACTTCCAAGTGGCCGTGCCTCAAGGTCTGGCCGCAACACCAAGAGTCGGATTTTACGGCCTCGTCTACTTGAGCGACGTACCAAGAAGCGACTTCAATGCATGTCGTTGCGGTGTGATTTGGCGGACGGTAGGTATCAGCGCCGGAATTGGAAGACGGGTTTGAGGTATGGAACGGGGAGCAGTGTCGGAGCGAAGCGCACATAGATACTATGCTTGTCGGATGCAGATCGCGGAAAGCAGAAGCGGAAAGATCATATAGTACTATTCGCATGTATTCTTGTAGGGACGAATTTGCGTCTCTCCTGATGTTCTTCCAGCATGTCCTTGCAATACGAATCTGTCATCTAAACCGCATGGCTGCACGTGATTTGTATGCTTGCCTGGTTCGGTTTCCATCCATGGATTATTTGCTCACTTAGAATTGCCCGATGACGTCACTATGCTGTAATAGGATCATCCCTCGGATGGAAAGAGCATCCGCCCAACCAGCAGCATTCGCTTCATTGTTTTTCAACCTTGCAAGCCACCCTTCCCCATTGACCCCAGGCTCCAGCACAACCTGAACAAATACGGAATAATGTCAGGTACCCTTGAGGGCAAAACCGCCCTGATCACCGGCGCCGCCAGCGGAATCGGGTAAGCCAACCCCACCCTTCACTCCCGCTATGTGACAGTTCACCTTATTCCCACCCCTCCAGAAAAGCCACCGCCCACAAACTGGACAGTCTGGGCGCCACATTGATCCTATCTGATATCAACGAAGATGCCCTGCAGCAGCTCCAATCCGAGCTGTCCAGCAGCCCCCGCGCCTCGTACCACATCTACCGCCCCTGCGACGTCTCCCTCAGCACCGACTGCACCCGACTCACCCAGGCGGTGAAGTCCTCCTTCGAACACCTGGACTTCCTGTTCAACTGCGCGGGGATCAACCCCACGAATATCCCCATCCTCGAAATCAGCGAGGACTACTTCACCAAGCTGGTGGACGTCAACCTGCGCGGCACCTTCAACATGTGTCGCGCCTGCGTGCCCCTCATGCAAGAAGGGTCCGTCATGGTGAACGTCTCCAGCGTGTGCGGTCTCAAGGGGTACCCCGGGTACTCGGTCTACTGCGCGACCAAGTTCGGGATCATCGGGCTCACGAAGGCGCTGGCCGCGGAGCTGGGTCCCAGAGGCATTCGGGTGAATGCTGTCGCGCCGGGGCATACGGACACCCCGACGATGGTGGGGAATGTGGCCGGCGGGGATGCGAATGCGCGCATCGTCAAGGAGGTGCCGTTGGGGCGGCTGGGGGAGCCCCGTGAGGTGGCCGATGTTGTGGCCTTTTTGTTTAGTGCGGGGGCGTCGTACATGTCGGGCAGTGTGGTCGAGATTACCGGGGGCGTGATTTAGAGGTTTATGGGTAATGTCAACAGTAGATCTGTTGGATTGGATTCTCGGCATGGACTTTGTGATTGCATCAATTGTATATACCTGTATGTATATGAGCGAAGTAAATCCACTGGGAAATCTTGTCACCGAACATCCTTTGGGGTTCACTCTTGCTTGTGAACCAGCCGATGAGTCAAGTGTGGGTGACTTGGGTTGGTTGATAGCATACATTCACCGGGGAGCTTTGCTCCAACTCCGGCGGGCTCACCCGCAGCACCCCGCATTTCGTACCTCACGGATAACATTACAGTATGGAGAAGATATGGCTATTCCAGGCTGCCTTCTATGACTTTTACTCTATATCAGTGCTTCATGTTCTTTGTCCGAGTTCAACCACCTTGATTCCCACCTGCTGATGCCGTCAGACCATGGCCAAAACACCCTTTACCCCTTTTCGCGGCCGCAGGAGTGTGGTACATGGTCTCAATGGCATGGTTGCATGTTCGCAGCCCCTGGCGGCGATGGCTGGCCATAGAATCCTCACTCAAGGGGGCAATGCTGCAGTATGTACATCAAAGTATCTCGCCAACCACGCATCAAGTCTTCACTAACTCATTGGAGGATGCTGCTGTAGCCGTTGGTGAGAACATTCCCAGCCACTATTATGACAGTCCATCGCCTTTATTGATTTCGTCAATGTAGCCGCTGCACTGAACGCGACCGAGCCAGCATCAACCGGGATTGGAGGCGACATGTTCTGTCTCTTCTACGATGCACCCACCAAGAAAATCAGTGCGTTGAATGGCTCAGGCCGTGCCCCCAAAGCAATCACGCTCGACCAAGTTCGAACTCGACTGCAGCTGTCGCCGGGAAAGTCTGGTACCATCCCTCTGGATAGCGTCCTGGCGGTCACCACTCCAGGCGCCGCGGCAGGGTGGGTGGACACGATTGAGAGGTTTGGATCAGGAAAGTTGGGGCTGCACCAGATCCTTGCGCCTGCGATCGAGATCTGCGAGCGCGGCTTTCCGGTCTCGGAGGTTTCGTCGTCCATGGTGAGTATCTTGTGGTGATCGTAGGTAGAGCATTTGCTGATTATCCCATACCAGTGGCATGGACATGAACCGACTCTTCGCAAAGCATCGCCGCATTTTCACGAACTGCTCAAAACCGATGCAGCCGCCCCCGATGGATGCAGATCACCACTGCCAGGCGAAGTCATGACCAACCACGCCCTTGCGACGACATTCCGGGCCCTTGCGACCGAGGGAAAAGACGGCTTTTATCGAGGGAGAGTCGCCGACTCGATCGTCACAGCCGTGCAGGACCTCGGAGGCTTCTTGACTCACGAAGATCTGGAATATCACGCGCAGACTGGCAGCCAGATGGTTGATCCGATCTGCCTTCGGCTTTGGGCCGACCAGCAACAGCAAGCATTGGATATCTGGGAACATCCCCCCAACGGCCAAGGTGTGGTAGCGCTCATGGCCCTAGGAATCATGGAAGAGCTCAGTCGTACAGGTCGCCTACCACCGCTGTCTCGCCTGACCCACAATTCCCCGGAATATCTCCACGCGCTTATCGAGTGCCTCCGCATCGCCTTTTCCGACGCTGCCTGGTGGGTTGCCGATCCGGAGGTGGAGCGTGTTCCGAATCTCATTTCCAAGGCGTATCTCGCCGAGCGAGCCAAGCTTTACAGCCCCAGCAAAGCGTCCGACGTGATCTGCCGGGGCAGTCCGGCCTTCCAGTCCTGCGACACGGTGTACTTCGCCGTCGCGGATCGGGAGGGCAACGCGGCCTCGTTTATCAACAGCAATTACCACGGGTTTGGCACCGGAATCGTGCCCGCTGGCTGCGGCTTTACGCTGCAGAGCCGCGGAGCCAACTTCTCCCTAACCCCCGGTCATCCGAATGTGCTGGCGCCATTGAAGCGGCCCTACCACACCATCATCCCGGCCATGGCCACCCACGCCGCGGATGGCTCCCTCCACACTGTGTTCGGCGTCATGGGGGGCTTCATGCAGCCCCAGGGCCACGTGCAGGTGCTCCTCAACATGCTTGTGTTCGGGCTCAACCCCCAAGAAGCACTGGACGCACCGCGCATCTGTATCGCGGTGGAGGATGACGACGCTGAGGGAGGTGTGCACCATAGCATGGTCTATGTGGAGAACGGCATTGAGCAAAAGGTGATTGACGAGCTGCAACAAAAGGGCCATCACGTTGAAAAAGTCACGGGATGGAAACGAGAACTATTTGGAAGAGGCCAGGTCATTCGCTGTCAGAGAGAGGCCTCTTACCGAGTATACAGCGGGGGCAGTGATATTCGGGGCGATGGGCTGGCGATTCCTCTTTAGGTTAAACGGATTGGAAACTGAATGTAAGCGACTGGTCCACCACAGTACAGGAGCACGTTGAGCTCG